GAAAATTCTCGCAAATTAAACTTTATTAAATTATAGACGTACAGAAAAAGATGAAAGATTTTAAATATATAAATTCCGATTTAAATGGATTTTCTTTTTTACTGATAATTTTTTAATTTAAGAATGATTGAGATTACCTTATGATTACAAGTTTACAACTAAAATAACAACATATCATTCAACGTATAAAAATTTGCAACTGAAAAATAACAACGAATCATTCAGCGTATAAAATGTTTACGTTCTCTACATTATAATACTTGTGTGTATTAAGACTTCTTTATCTCTTGCCACTGAAATATAATATTTGTTATGAAATTTCGTCGGTTGGATTTCTATCAGCCGGATTTCTATCAGAACTACAATCAAATTCACCGTAATTCGCGATGAATTGATTTCGGCACTACGTGCGTGTGAACTGTGATTGACTTCTGGTTAAACGCGTATTCTGCAATATTACAAGCGTTAGGTATAAATGCTACAAATATTATTGACACGCAATTGGGCGAGCGGCGAGTCAGCGCGTTACACCGATAAAACGAATCATGTAATTGATAGAATTATTAGTGTCGCGTTGAGGTCTCTAATGATGCCGGGACGCGGATACGAACACATTTGCGTTAATGATTTTATTACTTGTTTTGGCACTTAACGAGCGGTCCTCGTAATGATTCGCGGTGAATCGTGACGATTTTAATCAGTAAAAAATAAATATCGCAATTAAAATCTTAAAATAATATCTCATTAAAATCTTTGTGCGTAATTTAAAAGCATCCTGCTATTACTTTATATTACATAAACTTTTAATGTTAATAAATCACATTTCGATCTTTAATATTTTAATTAATAATAAATTATGTTTTTTAATACTTTGATTATTAATCATATTTCTCCGAAAAACCTTTATTTCAAGATTCACAGGATTTTACAGTTGAAATAATAATGGGGAAACAAGGACTCTTGCTGTGGCAATATCAATAACAATATCAATAAAACTTTTTATTCATCGTCACGTCGAGACTTTGATATTTTCCACTCGGATATGTTATAAGAATCCTAATTATCGCAGATATCATAATAATTACTCTTTATTAGGAGCTCTTTATCCAACGTATCGCGATAACGCTTCAACGTCCACGGTATACATACCTAATTAATAATGATAATTAAATCGTGCTATTTCAAGCGGCGTAATGAAAGCTGCCTTTATTACAGAGCTTGGCGATTAACGATGCGATTATGATCGCGTCCGTCCGCGCTTTGAATGGCGTTCGTGTAAACAAGTCTGCTCGACGAGCGCGCTCATGGCCGTGACTCCTTTCTCAATGCGGCCGATCCCCGGCGATCTCGCTATAAAGCGGAAAAACACATTAACGCGTCAAAACCCGTTTTAGCTCGCGCGGTGTCAAGCGCACACGCCTGCCTCCTCCCTCGAGTGACCGGGGGACCTCCGATGGGGGGGAGGGGGATGCGTGCATCGAAAATATCCGCGTAAAACGTTTTCATGGGATATATTAAAAAATAATAAATTACATTAAATTTCAATCTCTCTAGGTCGAGGGCCGGTATTAATGATGGCGCGCGGTGTCAAACGCACGCACCGCGCCCGGCAGAATGCGTAGTGCGCGCCGAATAAGATATACGTTGCGAAAGTGTCGAAAATTTTTCCCCGCGTCATCGTACCGTCCATCGGCGCGTGAAACACTCCGGGGGAAAAAAAATATATTTTTAATTGTCGAGAATGTGTTGTTGAATTATGCGCGGATCAAAGAATGAACGATACCGACGCTTCATCCCTTGATCGTCTAATCGCTACGACGGAAAAACGTACCCCCTCGATGTTTTGTTATTTCATATTTACGAATGAAAGAAGGATTTTGTGGTTTTTCATTTATAAATCGTAGTTTTTTTTAATAATTAATTTTTTTGCAGAGATAATTGGAAATGCGTATTTTGTAGATATTAAATAAAATTACTTGTGCAACATATGACACAATCTGTGATTTTTAAGTGCATTACTCAGCTACTCTCGCGCGCGATTTTCCATATAATGATTTTATTTCAAGCCCACTTTAGATGATCCATGATTCATGTCGGAACTCGGGATAAAATATTATTTATAATTTTATGCATCGTGTAACATGAAAAATCTTTTTTTTTTTTTGAAGAATTAGATTACATATGAAATAATATATTAAAATATACGTAAATATCAAAATACAGAGCATACAATGAATAAAATTATATTCTAAAATTCGACATTAAATAATTTAAGATTTCGATGATTACGACTAATATATTTTCCAAGATCTTGCGACTTTTATCCTGAAAGATTTTATCTTTTCTACATCTCTTGCTTACTAGACATAGGAGATCTACTATCCAGTCACCTAAATTTTATTTCAGTTTTTTCTCATTATTTAATATAAACAACAATGAGAAATATAAACAAAACGTTCTATAGGTTACTTCTTTTTTTGTGCATGTTATAAACATTTAAAAAATGAAGTAGAATTGATATAATTTTTTATCAACTTAGATAATGATAATTATCTAATAATACAATTTCATTTTTGTATTTTTATGTTTTTATAAAATATATTGTGAAACATTTTATATTCTTTAAATATGAAACATTTTACATTTTTTATATATATGTTACATTTATTAAAATATGAATTATTGAAGTATGATCAGTGCTTTATAAAATTTAAATCGATATTTCTTAAATCGTACCACAAATTTTTCAATCATTTTTTTATTACTTTTTTTTATTACATTTATTAGATTTACTAGATATTTTTTTAAGAAAGTTATATGTTTTTAGTAACATACAGTACAATTTAAGAAACCGAATTGCTTGAATTGTATTTTTTACTATGTCATATAAAGGAGATTACAACAATTTTGTACGCTTCGCAAAAGATAATAAACATATAATAGGTGTTTTAAATATCAAACTTCAATATTAACTTGAGCGCTAATTAGTAGTACTATTAATGAAAAATATAATATATAAAATATCTTAAGTGACTTTGACAACTCTCTCTCATATACTCGGCGCGAAATACAATATCATCGCGCTTTTTCTGACAATTCCGTATTCCAGGAAGAAGGATAAAAAAATGCAAAAAGCGCAATCGGAACGAGTGGATTTGTAATCACCTATAAGCGATAACGTACTTTTAAACTAAAGTGGCTTCCTGACGTTCAACGAAACGTCTGCGAATTATCGAACATCCACGTCCCGCGGCATCAATCAGGGGCAGCGCAAAGTGTTGTATTCGTGCGAGCAAGCGCGAACCTCCCCCGAAGGTGGTGAGTCTGTGATGGTGTCAAGTGCACACATCACGGCGGCGGTGGTGGCGAATGAAAATTCGGAAAGCAGTTTAGGTAGATCAATCCGCACAACCGGGGTCAACGATTCGCTCAAGGTAGAACGCGTATAATAAAGTGGCTAATGGGGCGGCATAGCGGACGGGAAACAAGGGTGGGCGAGAGACTTTCGGGGGTGCCCGAGTGTGCGTTTGACGTTGGCCTGTTCAGCGGCTCCTTAACGCGGGAAAGTAACGGTTTTCCTCTTCCTTGATTACGTACACTGGCGCTCTGATGTATCGTACAAGATACGTCGTTTCGTAAAACAAACCTCTCTGGTGCTCACGTGAGATGCAGGAAGAATCCTACATGGATATTGCATTTTAACCCTTCGAAGTTCAAACTGTTTTTTCGCGAATGAACAAAGATGAAGTATTTATATTGTCCTTAACTTCAACTTGATTGAAAGAAAAAAATTAACTCGGAAGAAATAAATCGTGCGATATAAAAAGTGCCAATATTGAACCAATATTTGTGTGTAAATGTATCGTTTTATTGTCTAAAAAGTATTAACAGAAAGAGAAAAATTGGTTCTGATTGTATCAACAAGAAGTACAAGCAAAACGATCATATCAATCCGAATTTTGTTAGGCCTGTTCTTTTTGACTGAACTTTTGCTGAACTAGTTCATCTTTCTTCTTCTTCTTTTCTCCTGAAGAGAAAAGAAAGAAAAATGAACTGCTGCAAAAGTTCAGCTGAAAAGAACAAGCCTATTGAATTCTGATTATCTCTAACCGAAATGTTTCATAGATTTATCTATAAGTGTCTAATTTGTAGATCTGTTCTTTTTATTATAATTAAAGTTCCACGTTGGAAAGAAAAAGAGAAAAGATGGACCGTGCAAGAAGTTCAGCTAAAAAGAACAGGTCTCGTATCTTTCTGGTTGAATCTACTCGAATTCTAATTAATGCAATAAGACTTCTTTCAGTGAAAATATATGTTTCGACTCTAATTTGGATTTAAATCGTAGTAGAACTTGGAAGTCAAACAACAAAAGAGCTTCATATTTAATAATAACTTTGTCATAATAATAACTTTGTCATTATTAAAACAGTTATTTTTGATAAAAAACGAATATCAAGCACTGAGATGTGAAACGTTTGAAGTGTGTGAGAAGTTGTAACTTAATTTCAACATGAAGATATAACTTCTTGTGCTGATGACTTAAAACTAGGTCAAAACGTATACTTTGATATATCTTAGACAATAAAACGTTATATACGCAAATATCTTTGCTCAGTCATTTTATATCACTCAATTAATCAGTTGGTCTAACATATGAATTAAAGAATTTTTATTAATTGAAAGAATTCAAAAATTGTTTGTCGGTTACAGTATTCATTTGCAAATACGTTTTTGAGTTCTATAAACTGCGTCGATTTATTGAAACGATTTATTTGAAACGTAATAAACTAAAATTGAAAATAACATAACACAAATTATATTGATCGTCAATTTTAATAATGATATTAATCAGATCCCAATTTCCACTTATAATTGTTAAAGTTGAGTTGTTAAATCCGGTTCGTGTCGAAATTCTAAATAGAATTCTATTTTTTATGCTACAAAAAATATGAAGAATTTTGCGATTTTCATTGCAAGCTGATAATGGGTTGCATTTGCAGGTGAAGATCTGGTTTCAAAATCGGCGCATGAAGTGGCGAAACAGCAAGGAGCGGGAGCTGCTGGCGACCGGTGGCTCGCGCGAGCAGACGTTACCGAACAAGAACAACCCCAATCCGGATCTGAGCGACGCCGACGGGGATCGGCCGAGAATGGATCTGAGCGACGTGAGCCCGCTCACGAGTCCGCAAAGGCCAGAGGAGCAAACGGAAAACGAAGAGGACGAGGAGATCAATGTCACGTGATAAAACTCACCGCTGAACCCAGCATCCCCCGTTCGCCCTCCGACGACAAGTGATGACAATTTTTTTAATCCGTGAACCAAAGGCTACCGGCCGGACCAAAAAAAATTTAAGCGAAACGTAGATTTGACAGAGACTTTGAAGGATCGCGGAAATTAATTCAAAGTTTCAAACTGAAATCTGTTTTCATACGTCATTACGGATGCAATTATAATATCAGTTTTTACCTTCAATATGAAGATTACCTTCTTCTCGAGGTACCTTAGATTGTGCAACAATCTACTTATGACGAGAAGCGTACGAAATAAATATTGTGCAAGTCATAAAGAAACAGCTGTTAATTGTGGTCATTTTGCATTTTTCAGCTGGCTGATCTTTATTGGCGACTATGTATTCGCGGATAATTGGGCTATAACAGGGTGTCCTAGATTCATTGTGCGAAGAGAAGAATGTTTTAAACACGAGTGGCACGTGATGTTTCGTATCACTCACTATTTTCAATCGATCTTTAATTGTTTAGCGATCATCGGTTTGTCCTCAATATTTTTTTCTCGAGTTACACACGACTTGTGGCTTTGTTATATTTGATAATAGCAACACGTGTCGTCGCAAACTGATTCCGAGCAAAACGAAAATACGAATGACGAATACAGAATAAAAATGAATAAGAATGATGTATTATATTGTAATTAGCGCGATGAATGTACTTTCGAGGAGTCTTCTATAAGGTATTGTGTAAGGTTGTATTAGACGTAATGTTACAATTCTGGAAATATGTACCTAAGTCTACTTATAATGCGGTCGCGCGGTCAGATCCAAATGTAATTACATTCATTGTGATTCAATATAATCTATGTAATATATTGAAATAAAACTGTCTATGCTAAGCGATCTATACTTGTAATGTCAATACGTGATGAACGAAGTTCCAAGTCTAATCATCTGTTTTTTTTTTATTAATAATCAAGGCCGTAAAAGTTAAGGAAATCAAATTCGTCGTATAAAAACTTATAATATATTTTTCAATTGATAAGACTTTCAGAATACAAAGTATACTTTATTTATTGATATAATTATTTCTCACACAAGTAAACAGAGTAGCTCTGAATTAATGGACGAAGTACATCGCAATATTAACAGCGAAGATCTTGTATTTGAATAAAATTATGATGAAGATATTATTATTGATAAAGAATAAGCTCCCCTGTTTACTATCTCTACATTTTTTTGCTACAGGATGTAACTAAAATAAGATAGCAAACTTCGAGACAAGTTTCCCACACCAAATATGAAAAAAAGTATATATGAACGTTATGTCCGCAAATCTACTGTTATTGAGATATAGCTCAAAATGTTTAAGTATTATGGCCACCATAATCTCCCGATCTAAATCCTCTAGATTTTTATCTGTGGGACACTTAAAATCCTTAGTTTATGTGAAATTCCAATCGCTAATGAAGATACAATAGGTTATGCATGAAGATAGCCAACGCATCTTTGATCGTCTTCTATTGATATAGGGATTCAATCGACGCTGAAATTTGAGATTATATGTGTGGCCTCTGCTTCTCAAGAAGATTTTTATTGAATTTATTAGATCCTTATTATCGCATGGTACCTTTTAAATGAGTCGGAAATCTATACAAGGGCTAGAGAAAAGAAAGAGAAAGATGCTTGTGACATCATTCGTAATTGCCCCTTGAAAAAGTGTGAGTCTATGATCTGATGTATTCAAGCGTGTATTGAATTAAATGGGAGACATTTCGAACGTTTGTCATAATTAAAAATTGAAATTAAATAATATTAAATAATAAATATAATATTACTGTTTTATTTTCCCCTATTATTATTAATAAACAATTCGAGCTGTATCTCAGTAACAATGAGTTTACGGATATATGTTCATATGAATTTTTTTCACGTTTTGATGTGAGGAAGTCGGCTCTAAAGTTTGTTACCTTATTATAGTTACACCCAGTATTTACTACATATGGTAAATATATATATATGTATACATTTACATATTTACATACTTACGGGCATAAATTTTAAAATATAAAATAAAAAATAGGATTCGCGGTCTGTATTCACATATTGTACATTTAACATTAAATGAAAATTTTCATTTTTGTTGTCAGAAATTATTAAATATGATATTATAATATAATGTTATATCGTAATAATATAAATAAAAATGTATAATATTATTCCGATTGAAAATTTGATTTTCACATTTAGAATTGAATAAGAAATCACGAATACAGGCCACTTGTCTTTCTATTTCTGATATAAGAATGTACATAGATATACGCACAAATAGTTCATTTGTTATAAGGATTCCTTCCAGTTGAACTAATTTCACTTTTCTGTCCGTAACTGTCGCATATTTCGCATCACTTTAATTATTTTGAGCTTGCGGCTTCGACCATTCGACGCTCAAGATTAGATGATCGTAACCGTAACCATCCAGAGTTGCGATTGCTCTTGCTGCATCAGCCCTATGCTTGAAATGTACATATGCGAAACCCTTGCAGAGATTGGAAAGTTTCTCTTTGGCGAGAAACTGCTTGACTACGGAACCGAATGGCTTCACAAGCTCATCTAGATCCGCATCTGTAGTGCTCTGCGAGAGATTAGAAATACGTATGGCGGTTGTATCGTCGCGTCTCTGCATCTGCATCGAGTCTCCACGTTTGCTGCCACCATCACGCATACCAGGCGGCACGTACTTGCCACCTTGCGGCTTAAGTTCAGCCATTGTACCAGGTACTCCAGTAGTAACGAGAGGTTTCTTGTCGTCTGGTACTTTTCCTGAAAGGCAGAATTTTACAGTTATATAATTATTAGTTATAATTTTACAAAAATAACGTATATCTTATATCATTTATTCTACAATTAAAACATAAATAAAATTATATTTTTATTTTTATTTATGTTTATATAATTGAATGCGGCAATCATGGCATAGAGTGGTTGTTTTCTATGCCAAAGATCTGAGTTCAAATCCATCAAGAACACTCATGTATCCGATTTTATTTGAGTATCACTTCTCGGAAAGCAATGAGCCATTAAGAATATCTTTGTCATGACAACCTCTTCTAATAAGCTATTAGGAACCGGGGTTAAAAACTGACCTCGATATATGAATATCTATGCAGAAGAGATCACCACATCTCTGACGAGGGACAATAAGACTTAAGAGATATAACTGAATTTTAGCTCGTATTTATCGTATCAATTGATTTCTGACAATATAACTTACCACCAGCAAGAACAGTGTCTTTGTATGGACACTTGGACGTCCAGTGATCGCCGTTACAATTACGGCACTTGACGACTCCTTTGTCGCCCATACTTTTCAATTTATCCAAGGAGTCTTCCTCCACTTTGTTCTCTTCCTCTTTGCTGGATATGAATTGCATAAAGACATCCTCACCACCGACAGTGGTAGCTGGATTTGGTCCCGGCCTATCGTCAGCAGAATCGCCGAACTTCGTCCAATTCTTACGCGCCGCAATCGTTTTCGAAACTATGCGTCGCTCTATTTTGTAAGCACGTACAACCTTGATTTTCTTGTTATCTTGATTGTACTTGTACTCGGTGAGAATTTTAAAACCATTCTCGTAGACTTCCGTAGGCGGAGGTAACGCTCCTCCCTCTTCTTCAACTTCATCAGCCCAGCTAGATTTGACCTCATTTTGTGCAACTGGCATCTCTGCAAGTTATACAATATTATGGAACATTTAGATACGTACGAATACTAGTTTAAAGTAAATAAAAGTATTATGCAATATGTGTAAACATCAAATTTCAGAATATTAAGGCAATTATTTGTTATCCATAAACATACTGTATTTAAATATATTTGATTCCATTTATTTATCTGTAGAGATCTTATAAAGTTTGAAATCCTTACTTCAGATATTTATTATTCTTATCAGAATAAAATTCTGTTTAGAATTTTACATAATATTAAAAAAAAAACATTTAAAAAATCAGAATATACATAAAATATACAAAACATAAACATATATATTAAGCATATATAAATTATAAGTAGAATTGTATCCTAAAATCTGACAGTGAATTATAAAGTCAAATAAATATCAAAAATAAATGTTCAAGCACTTATCTTAAAATTGCAATATCTCAATAAAAAAATGTACAAGCTATAATTGATGTTTTTCACATTAATTGCATTGATATAAACCTAAATATACTTAACCAGTTAAAGATTTGTCAGTCATCTTATTTTTATAATAAATGAAACACTATTAGAGCCAGAAAATGTACACAAACGCTGAAACAAATTAGATACAAAATTATACGATACTCCATCTCTTTTTAGCATGTTAAAAGTATCAATAATACATTTAACAGATGTTTCTTTATAAATTTAAACCTACCATGAATTATAATAATAACTAATATAAGTCGATTAAAAACTCGATAATAATCTAATAATTTAATCCAATAATTTAGAGAATTAATAAAAGTATTTTCCTTATTAAATGTAATTGTTTAATATTCATATAACGATAAAATAAAATTGCAATAGACCAGGACTGCTTATAAAAAAAGTGACATAGAATTAGAACCTAACCTAACCTATTACACTTCCTTTGACGATTAAAGATTATTTCTATAAATTGTGCATTTACTTTATTGCCATTTTCGCTGGGCGAGCCAATGAAAGGAGTCGAAATAAAAGAAGCTATTATTATTATGCTATTATTGGCACAGTTAAATCAATGTGTAAACTCAGTGTTTGAAAAATACAAAAATCAAGAAAACATCGCGTAAAAAATTCGTCATTGAACGTTACCGTAAAAATTCGACAGCTGATAGTAAACAGATGATCCAAATCGGAGTACAGATTACGATGAAACCGTACGAAATAAAATAAATTGCGGAACAAAGACTAAACATCCACGTGGAAATCAAAATGGAGGAATTCACGATACCGCGAATGCCGATTGCCGCGATGTCTTCGAACATTTCTTGGAACCATAAAACACAAAACAGAATGAAGAGACGGGCACATTTTGATATGCGTCCAATAGCTAATAGGAACATTTGTATTCCTATTATTTTTCCTAGAGAAAAAGCATGTCGAAAAAAATATACACGAGATAGACAGTCGGATTTATTTAGTTTGTATAAAAAAATTTAAGAAATTTTTTAGAAAGTTATAAAATTATTCAAATATTCTAAAACAATCTGAAATTCACATAAAAATTCTGAAAAATTATGTAAAAAATTTTGAACAAATTTTCACCAGAGATAAGCAATTAACAATTAAAAAATAAATGAAATAAACAAAACTTTTATATGAAGAATTTCAAAGTGTAATTGAAAAGAAAATTGATTATAATAATAAATAAATAAAATTATAATTATATATACAAATATATATACTACATATTATTATTATTGTTATTATAAATTTTATTTTTAATTATTCATTCGAATAAATTAAAATAAATATTATTACAAAATGTGACTAGCCAACTTTTTTACCGACCAAGTTTATCAGAGTGCGAGAATCGTGATTCATAACGCCCAATGGGAATTGGCAACACTGCCGGTCGCTGCGAGCGGCGAGGTTTGGCGAAGTTGTAGGGTTGTAATGGCGACGTCTAACGCGTTGTCCGGGCCGCCGTGAGTGAATAATGCACCACGAAACGGTGCTCCGTTTTTTATGTACGGAGCGACAATCGAGCGAGTGGACGGTACGTGCACATAACGTTTTGACGGCGTAATTTTGACAGAATCGCCGACGAGCGTCCCCCGTCACGATGGATCAGGCACCCGCAGGTGAGCACGCCGATCCGGCCGCACAGGCGCGCTCTCTCGCACGCGTTTCTTCCCCTCGCACCTTCTGCTTACTCCAATGTGATATTAATTAATTAACCCTCGCATTCCCTCGCATTAACTGCAATGCTGTGTCTTTCGCTTGCACCTTGCTGTTTCGTTTGGCCTATGTCGAGCGGCTTTGTCTGGATTCATTAGATTACTTGTAAAAATATTGTAAATACATATACATGTATTTTTAAATGTGGAAAATACAAATGCTAATTTTTCATAAGTAACTAATATACATTTTACTATCAATTTTACAGATATACATATGTGGATTTTGTTAAACTTTATTATGATAATTATTGTTTTATTAAAAAATATTTTTTTAATTTTATTTTCATAATCATTATGGTGTTGTATATATAATTGTTTATTTATATTCCATCATTTTCCGTTCAGTTTTAATTTTAAGCATCTTCTTATAAAGATGCTTAAAATTTACTTGAATAGTTAATAAATTATAGATCATAGATTCCAATTTATAATTAATTTAGATCTGATTCTTGTTATTTTCGCTTATAACATTCAGACACAGAATTACGGAACATCATAGACAAACTGGCACAGTTTGTCGCTCGCAATGGGCCAGAATTCGAACAGATGACAAAGAACAAGCAGAAGGACAACCCAAAGTTCGGTTTCCTGTTTGGCGGGGAGCACTTCAACTACTATCAGTACAAAGTGACTACAGAGCAAGCCAGTAAGTGGGACATAGCCCATTAACAGCTACTGTGATTAAGAAGCATAAAAAAGGCCATACTTTATTCAACCAGCAAAGGAATGACTTTGAAAAGCGAGTCTGATTCTTCATCATTGCGAACATACAAAAAAAAAATGTATTATTCATCGAATAGGAACAATCTTCCTGTCAAGATTTTGGGATTGTTATTTGTTAAGCAGAACATTTTTACACTAAAGACATCCTTGCGTTTCTTGGCAATGGCGATTTTGAGAAGATGTAGTTTTAAGATTCTTGCTGGAGTTTGTCTAACATGACATACATTGTCAATGTATTGCTTCAATCTATGTTGGAAATATTACCCACCGTCCAAAATAGCGTGTCCTGTAATATATTTTAGTACTGTAAAAATGCCAAAAAAAAAAGAGAAAAGAAAAGAAAAAAGAATATAGTGCTCCCGAGTTTTTCGATACTATACTTCTCTCATGTAAATGCCCAAGAATTTTCTTATATGCATCGATACAAGACTAACTACTTCGCAGAAAAAAAAACAGAACTATTTGTATACAAATTTTTCAAATATCGCTTGACAAGGACTCAGCATCTCACAATAATCCACCGTCATTCGTTTACAGTTTTAAAGCAAAAAGGAATAAATCCAATGCAAAATGCAGACCCACGTTTAAACGTTTCGCAGCAGCAGCAGCAAACAGCCGCAAACGCCGTCTCGCAACCACTGAATAACGTCAATCTTGCATCTGGTCTGAGTACTCAAAACAATGGAATAAATCCGGTAGTCGGGATCGGACCTCAGGTCGGAAGTCAGGGCGGTCCCGTTTTGCCTGGACAGATCGGAGGGCCGGGAAATGCAGGACCGCCGATTGGACCGGTTTCCAACGCCATGGGAGGTGTGAATCCGCCGATCACCGGAGTCGCGCAAGCAGTTAACATCGCGGGCCCGCCCGCGTGGCTGCAGAATGAGTTGGCGAATCTACAATCGCAGCAGACGACGTTGCAGGAACAAGTGAGACAATCAGAACAGAACCTGGCTGCGCAGCATGCTGCGTTAATGGCACAACAGCAAGGAAGGGTAGAAGATGCTGTGAGGCAGGCACAGGAACAGGCTTTGCAAAACAATGCGCAAAACACAAACACAGACTTAGCTGCATTTGATACCGTGCTACAACCGATCATTGATAGCTGCACGAAGGATAGTATAAGCGCAGGAAAGGCCTGGATACTTCAGAATTCACTCACACCGCAGAGTAATCAAGTTGTTGCAGACCATTTGCTGAAAAGGTATGTCCTAATATATGTTTTATGTTTATGTATAAAAAGAGTATATTCATTTTTATGTTTATATAAATATTCTTTTTACAGAGTAATTCAAGGGACAACCTTCAGTCATAAGTTACACATTATTTATTTGGTGAATGATGTATTGCATCACTGGTTAGTATAAATGTATCATATAATATATGACACTTATGTGATATGTGTTATATATGATACAAATTAATTGCAATTTATTTATAATTATCAAAATGGATTATTTTTATTTTTTCTTAGATATTCATAATTAATTCTTAAAATAATTTCAATATAGTTTCTACAATTATCACAAAGCCCTTTTAATTTTTTTAATACATCCATACTTATTTATATTTATAATTTTATAATATATTAAACAATATGTCATAAACTAAAAGACATGCCACTAACTATGCACAAGATATATAACTGGATACTTCCCCTCAGTGCAAGAAAAAAGTCTGTGGATCTTCGCAAAGCAATGGAAAGTGTTGTTGTTCCCATGTTCTGTAACACTTCACTAGCAGCATCTGAAGAACAGCTTAATAAGCTAAATAAACTATTGAGTTTATGGGAATCAAAAAATAATTACTTTGACGAAGGCATCATAGATAAGTTAAAACAACCGAGCGCATCCTGGTCAGAGTACCAAGCTAATTTGGTAGCGCAACATGCGACCGCAATTACTCCTATTACAGCATCGACGAAACAAACATTCGATAATTATCAAGCACAGCATCAAGCATTTGTCACTCACGCATTGAGACAGATCCAAAATCTCGAACAACAAAAAATAACGATAGATCAACAATTGAAAGCTCCACCGCCACCACCACCTCAAATGGTAGTATTATTTTTTTCCTTTAAATTGAATATTTTTTTTAATATCTATAAAAAATGTTATTAAATTATTATTAAAAATTTTATTTTTCTACAGAGTCAGCAAAATATGTCAATACCTAGTCATTCTGGTCCGAACACGATGGGTACAGATGTAAATTTCAGTCAACCACCTCCAGGATGGGGTGTTCCTTCAAACGAACCGCCACCGTTTAGCAATGTCCCTTTGCCAGATTTTTCAAAGCCACCACCAGGTTTTGGACCGCCACCTGTTATTCATGAACCATCGGTGGAGGATTTGATGCCTAGTATGCCTTATTTTGAGCTTCCAGCGGGTTTAATGGTACCCCTAATAAAGTTAGAAGATGGTGAATATAAACCATTGGATCCAGATGCGATAAGACTTCCACCACCAGCTCCACCGAGTGATCGTTTAGTTGCAGCTGTAGAAGCATTTTATGCACCACCAAATCATGATTCACCTAGAGATAGGTAAATATGTGTATACATAACAAAAAAGGATCTATTTGAAATAAAAATTGAAAGATACATATAAAAATATACAAGTTACTATATTTTTGTACATATTTGTTAACATCATTTTTTTATATTTACAGTGATGGATGGGAGAAATTAGGATTATATGAATATTATAAAGCAAAAAATGCCGCTCGCAAGCGTAAAGAAGAGGATATAGCTGCTGGTATTAGGCAGAGATCCAAATCTCCATCGCCAATTTTACGACCGAGATCTAAAAGTCCTAGTCCGCCAAAGAAACGCTATCGGAGCAAGTCACGCAGCAGATCGCGTTCGCGATCGCGAGGCAGAAGTAGATCGAGATCGCCCGCAACTAATCACAGACGCAATAGTCGTAACAGCAATCACATTAATAGAAGTCGGAGGAGAAGAAATAGTAATAAAGATCGCAGTCCTGATAGGAGAATGGACAGGCAGGACAGAAGTCCAACTCCTCCCAGTTTTCTGTAAGTGCTAACTTCTCTAATAAGAAGTACAGAATGAAATATATTTTTAGTACAGAAATTAGTATTTAATTTCTTTTATTAAATTTTAATCTCTTATAAAATCAAAGCATATATATAAGATTAAATCGAACTTGAAACTTGCTATAAATCAATTGCTCTCACAGAGAGCTACGCTCGTCTCGTTAATTTCTGTAATATTAGCTCCATTTTGTTTTCTTCTTTTGAACAACAATGAATTAATGTTTTTGTGAGCGTTTTCTTTGTGTGTGTGTGTGTGTATA